ATGTTGATTTGTTGATTTTTCAAAAAGTTATGGAAGTTTTAAGAAAAAAAAGTGAATAAAATTCGAAAATTAGCGATTTTTAAATTTGTAATTTTTTTGGATATTTCCCCCATTTGCGGGGAACGAGGGAATTTTTTTCAATTTTTAAGGGTAATGTCTTCAACTAGATACGATTTGTGATCTTTGGACGAATTTTTGAAAGAAATCGGTCCAGTGAGAGCTGTGAAAAAGTTGCAACAGACAAAAAAAAAAAAAAAAAAACAACACATCATAGTAAAATCAATACCTTCTCCGCTTTGCATCGAAGCTAAAATTGATAAAGTACATTAATACTCAATAAAAGCTGGCAAATATTCAATAATGTGTAAACTGATATTAGAATCAATTAAAATATTCTAAAGCCAGTTTTTTAGAATCAGGGTGAAATTCGATTTAGAATTTGCTATCATATTGTTTGCGGAAAATTTTTGATTTTTTGTTGTACAGTGTTATTTTTTCTTTTAAAAAATATCTAAGAAATAATAAAAATCAAAATTTTAAATATTTCAATATAAAAAAATGGTATTATTGCATATTATTATTATTATATATATTATTATTATTTCATTTAAAGTATAACCACAACTGAAATAATGTATGGAAGGTTTAATTTTATTACTACCCTCAACATAATATTATGTGTATACAAAATTCATAATTTTTTTTTTTTTAGGAAAATGAATATGAGAAGCTAAACTCTAAAATAAAAGTAAATAAAATATTTGATTAGATGAACAAAAAATAATAACGTCATTGGATTTTACAATTCAAACGAGTGGTTCCCAATGATTTCTACTTAAGGTCATCCAAAGGTTTGTTCATGTCATTTTCACTAAGTTATTTCTATAAAAAATATGTGAATTAATTTAATTCAATCCTTAAGAGAATTAGTAATAGTATTCTACGTATTTAAGCTTTGTTCAATTTGTTTTTGCAAGTATGTCCTCTAAATTTCCTTACATAGCAAATTAATTAACGTGTTTCATATCAAAGAATGCGCATTTTAAAATAATTATTCAATCGACTAAATACGATATACATAGACGAGCCTTTTATAAATCGATATGCATAAAAAATATACTGAACCAAAAGAGTTTTTTTATGCAATGTGTATGCAATAAAATGCGAAGGGCGATGTTGTTATTTACTTGACAATTTTGTCTGTATTTTTGAATTTAATTTGGAATAACTTATTTGATTGCATTGATTACATTTTCGACTAATTCATTGAACGAATTATTATGTCATTTATCATTTAGAAGAATAAAAATTCAACAGTTCTTTTGTTTTTTCTTTGTTAATATTCGAATAATAAAGACAAACATCATTGAACTTGAGGAATAATAATTAATCAAATTTGAAATTATTCAAGGAAGTTATTATATTAAATATTAATTTGTAAACAACATAATGTTATGACTTTAAGAAATGAGAAAATCGTTATACAGGAAAGAATCAATTGAATTTTTAATTTACAAATAATAAAATTATTATTTTGTTTTATTTTATCGTTACAATTGTTAAATTAAATATTTTAAGTTGATTTTTTAGTTCTTCTAAGTTTTGTATCATATTTATAAATATTTCTACCAAACTACAGAGAATATAATCATTCTAAATTTATTAAATCTCATCATGGCACGATTTTTGACGTGTTTTTACTGATTAGACTTTAACAGACAAACACGATTGTGTTGCTCTGATATAAATTACTTAAAACAGATTTTTCGCTTAAGACATTATCTTTGTTAAAAAGGTAATATAAACACAATATGACGTTCTTAAATCAGCGACAGACAATAAAAATTATGTAAATTGAATGTGAGTGCTATTGAAAAATGGCGATTAAAATGTAATTTTACACAAAATACTTTAGACTTAATATCGAACGGTTTTGACAATTTGGTTCTTAGATAAAATATTAATGGTTCATCCAAGTAGTGATATTTTAATTCAATGACTATGTTTGACATATTCAAAATATATATATATATATATATATCAAGTTAAAGATTAAAATATACCATTACTATCTTTGTCTTCAAAAACATTCAATAGATATAAAGCTGGTTTAATTCTTTGTGATTCTAATTACAGAGGATAAAATAATTACTGCCATTTTAATAATTAATCCAATTACTTTATGTTACGGTAAATTACAAAACGTTTATTATATAGGTACAACATAATACAGTACATTTTATTGTTTATGTCATATTTTAATAAAAAAAAAACCTCACTTGTTTGCTTTGTATGACCTATATAATTTCCATAGGGTTTTTGTTGGTAACCTGATCTTGTACTCGTATGTTCAATTTGGCGAAACAATAATCAAAAAGTTGTTTAGTGGATTTATTAACATAGTAATCTAGAAGTCAACCAAAAATCTGTCTTTCAATTAACCGACTAAACTTTCATATGGACTGAAATCCATCGATTAAAAAGAAACTAAAAACGTCAGATTGCAAAATGTACATAAATATTAATATCCTTAATACAGAGTG